CCAAAACCCCACTTATTAAAAATTGAAGATAAATAGTTGTTGGCATTAATAATCAGATAATGACGAGAATTAATAAATTATAAATTTGCAATGAAAATTCTCAAAATTCTCCCTATATTGTTAATTCAATTACTTTTTGCATAATGCATTTAGTCACAGACATTGAATTCAACCTAGATAAACTACTATATTCAAGGACTTAAAGGTCTCTATGTTGGAATCTATAGTGGTCTTCATGAAAAAGTTCCAGCAACAGTGAAGCAAGATTGTTTAGATTTTGATTTCGCTAATCGTACTACTCATATTATCAATACATTCTTAAAGCATGGTTTTGCTCTGTTTAGACTTATAGAAGATGGTTCAATTATAGTAAGTGAAATGACAGAATGCCAGTTTGATAGAGTAGGATTTGAACTTTACGAACTCTGTGATATCAAACAGCAGTGCTAGATAAAAGATGCTAAGAATAGAATAAACAAACTATCTTTCCAAATGGTAGGACATGTCACCAGCATACTAGGAATTATATAAGATGGTGTTTACCCTCCAAATGACATCGATGAATTTTACAGTAAGAATTTAGAAATCGGAAAGACATTGGCATCAGTGTTTTTGGAATTATTTGAATTAAGAAAATTCCCTTGAAGTTAAGAATTCAAAATGATTTATGCCAAATGATGAGATTGTTTAAAAATAGTTCTATTAGAATAGACACATCGAAATAGATTGACTTTAATAATTTTCTAATTTCTAAATTTTTAAGACCCTTTTTATTAACTTTTAATTAACTTAGATTGCTTGAGTGTTATAACTATTAGCCATTAAAGAAGAGCTCTTGATTTATGACATTAACTAATGTTTAATATTTAATATCAAAGTCAGGGTCAGAATTGCTTAAGAAAATTTGTTTATATTTGTTTCTATCAGCTCTTACTTTTTAAGATTCTGTTATTTTCCATTTCTTGCTTCGATTTCTGGTATCTTTATCTAAGTTACTAGATCATATCTGGCTTCAAATATTATATCTATTATGAAGCTATTGCAATCTTTTCCTATTACCTAGTTGCCATACCACTTTGACTACTTGTTTGAGAGGTTTTTTGCCTTTTTTTAGCTGGCTATACTTCTTAATTCTCCTCAAATTATGTAACATTTAGCTTTCGCTTTTTAGAATTCTAAGACTGGCTAGACTTCTCTACATTACTTTAGGAACTCTAATCTTTATTATTGAAGAGTTATTTTGCTATTGATTCCAAACGATTACTTTTAGACTAGTTTTTATCTTCATCATCACTTAAGTCTTCATAATCTAGTAAAACATCTAAGTCACTCTTTTAATTCTAGTCAGCAGCTTAAATTTTTGCTGGATAGTTTAGCCTTTACCTATCAGATATTGCCTATTTCTGATCAGAATTTGAGAGACTCCTCATCTTTTAATCGCTTAACTTTCTCAAGTTATAACCATTGTGCTATATTTTTATTCCAAATTCTTTTTTCTTGGATGGTCTTTTACTGCCATGATTACTTTCAGCTATCGATATATCATCAGATCCATTGAACTGCTTGAATAAATCTTCATCATTTTTAGGTGTAAGAGAGAGTTAAAGCTCCTAATTAGCGAATTTCGCTCCTTTTGGCTTCGTGCCATTTTACCTAGACTTGAATACATTTTGATTTGCATCTTAGAATCTTCGCTTATTGAGTTCTTAGTTGTTTAAATTAAACCTTTCAGATAGATTGATATCCCCACAGATATAGCCAGCATTCTTGACCTCTTCATTCTATTTCTGTATCTAATGGCTTGATATTCCTTATTTTTGACTAATTTAACTTTTTATCACAGTGATTTAGGAGTTATAGTTAGAAACATAACCTATAGGAAATCAATACCAAAAGATTTTTACCTTTTTTAGGGTTAAATAGAATAGGATTAGCGATTTTTTAGTTCTTAACAACGTACTCTTTAATCAGATGATGCTGAAACTCTAATCTCTTTTTTGACATTGATCTCTCCGGGACATTAAATACCAAATTTTTAGGAGATATCGCTCTAACAAACCTTTCAAGCTCTCTATAGTTTGAGTGACTTGAGTATGGAACTTTCTATATGAAAATGTTAACTCATATTAAATTTGTTGCAACTTACAAAGTAAAATGGCAAATTCCTGTTATACTTGTCATTCCACCCTGTCATGATTACAAATATGGTGGGCTCTTCCTTGTTACACTCTTCGATACTAATAGAAAATAAATAAGCGCTCAATTAATATAAACCATACTCAAATTTTTTCAAGTTTTTGATTGACTTAATATGAATCCAGCCAAGATTAGCATCAGTTGTGAATAAATCAGGCCTTAAGTCCATTATACTAAGCTTTCTGTATCTATCTTCATCTACAACCACCTATTCATTGTGTTATTTAAATGAATATTCCAATATTTACTTACTAGAGTCTCGAAGTCCTGAGCTAGGTTGATAAAGACTTCCTCTTTACCAAGGTTATAAGAAAACAAAAATATCCTATGTTATCCATGTTTCTTTACAATATCAGTTAGTGAGTTATAGGCCTCCTCTCTTGAGGGAAAATCATATTCTGGGTCAGCAAAGGTGTTATCCAAAAAAAGGTAATCAATATCAACTGAAATTGCTCTCATATCCTCCTTATGACGCTGTGGAGGGAACAGGATTTCGTTGTCAAACATTTGCTCTGAAAATCTGAAATCTCCTGTATGGAAGACTGTTCCCATCTTGCCGCGAAACATAAACATTACTGCGCCAGGACAATGGAAAGCATCCATCATCATAACTGAAACACCTTCCTTCTTCTGATCATCTAGGTATATCCAATGCTCCTCATCCATTTCAAGTTCAATCTAGTTTTAGGATTCAGTAAACCAGGCAAAGAAAGTAGGGTTTAATAGACTTACCACAAATTCCTTGAGATGAGGGAATTTATCGAGAATGAGAATCTTAGAGATGTGACTTGTGTATATTTTTCCATAGTTCCAGGACGGATTTAAACCCTTAACGTGATCTAAACAATGATTTTAGAATTGGGTTAATAAAATATATACCCTCATGACAATGAGAAAGAAAGAATATGTATTGGGTGAGGTCATTCTTCATAAACTCGAAGTTATCAACTCTGATGTTTGAGTGCGGGATTAAACTCATTTCTGATCAATATAATCTACTATTATAATTCCAGTTCCTTTAATTTCAAATTTATATTCTCAATTTTCAATCACTCTTTTCATTTTCTCAATATTTATCTATCTCAATTGTTAACAATCTATTAAATCACTCTTCCCTGGGGTTTTGGGGTTTTGGGGTTTTGGGG